TCCGTGGCCGCTACCCAACCTCCCGTCCCTGCCGGACCTCTCCCGAGGGAACTCGGGCCCGAGGAGGATGCTCTTTTCGTGACTGTCAGGACAGACCACACTCACCGCTGACCCGCTGCGGATTTGCTGGTGAACCTGCTAGAACGGGGGTTATAGCAAAACGAGCCTGCTTGCTTAAGTCATTACCGTAGATATCCCCCAAATATATGACGTGATACAGGTCATAACAAAGCGCAGGACGGACTTAATACAAGGAACCCAATTAAGGCTCGCGCCGCAGCCTTTAACCAAGGAGCTCCTTATTGCACGTAATCATACAGGGAGCCCAAATACGGCAATTAAGTAGTACGCGAGACTAGAGACGGATGAGGAGGTACTAATCGGATGCTACACCACCTGCATATTAAATGAGCAAGCTTAACACAGCAGGAGGAAATAACAGAATACCCTAGCTCCGTACGGGCCCTGCAGAGAATGGCACTGCTGCAGCACATTTCGCCATAACGAGACTCTTTTCCACAATGCAAAGTGATTCATTTAACAAAATAAATGTTCTTCATGTTTTCCTTATTTAGGACATCGATGGTGTTGGGCCTAAGTACCATCTGGAATTGGTGTTAGAAGACATCGTTGACCAAGTGAGTTTAGATTTATTTAATAAATACAGTGTGTGGGCAGAAATTGGCACTACTGACATGTAATGAAAAGCCAATGCTTTATGCTGCTGATCCTAGCTGAGGCCAACGGACACACCAGTTAATAATACTTGGTATCGTGTTTCAGATTTTTCTCTACTGCAAATCGGGAGGAAAAAAAAAAAAAAAAAAAAAAAGACTTAACTTTACCAAAAGGGAACTCCCATTTTTTACACCATAAAAGCCCCAAACATCTGGTACCTACCACTGTGACACAAGAAAGTCCTTGAGGGATGACAAGGACACTTCAGTGTCATTCAATTTCAGATTGAAGCTACTTGAACCCGTTACTCCAACTGAATAGCACAAGTGACATTCTGCATCACAACCACTGCCCTTTCTATCACTGCAGAAAGAAAACTGCCTTTATAGTATAGTCACGGAAATACTATGAATTTAACCTTGTCTTAAATAATCACAAATCTCTGTGGGGCCAGACTCAGAGAAAACAGCAACTACCTAAAAAAAACCCCTACATTTTAGAAGTACAAATTACCAATATTTGTATTTAATGAAATATTAATACACATAATTAACTCTGTAACAGGACAGTACTGTTAACTGCACTGCTGAGGTTCTTTACCATCTGGGCAACAAAAACATTGCTCCAGATGTGCAATTCACAATTGAAGGAGAACTTAAGAACACAGATGAAGCAGATAACATATTCTACAGTCAAATCAAGAGCCTGGAAAAAGAGCTTGTGGCAGAAAACATACCAGGTACAAAGAAGGGGTTTGGGCGAGAAGGAGGTTTTTCAGACAATGTCCTCCACGGCCAGAAGCAAACCTGAGCTCAGCTGGTGGTGGTCCACGATCCATATGGGAGCCCCGACTATAGAAGCCAGGAGCGAGGGGGATCAGGCCATTAGCCCTACTCTGAACACATGCTGCTTCACTTTCTCTTATTCGGGGTGGTGTGTCAATCACAACACTACTAAATTCTTTCATCATTTCTGAAATCCAGAACCGATACGTGATTTGCATGTGACTATTCTTGAAAACCACCTGCTACTGTTACCTCTCCCTTTACGAGCATCCTGCTCACTGTTGGTGGCTGTCCTTTGCATAGTACATCAGACACCCCAGCTGTAGTATTGGGGTCTGCTCTTACTTTAGGGCATCCCCTGCCTTTACAGAATGTATGTTAAGAGAAAGAATTGGGAAGAAAACACAGTGGTGATATAGCAGCTCTTCCAAGATTATATGGAAGATCTGTGACACAGCAAGGAACGTAAGGAAGTGACTTTAGCACCAAACCCTACTATTAGGTGATAAGGTTCTGTTAATGGCTGCAGCTCCATGAATCTTAGCTTAATGTATATTTTTCATTTTGTTTGCCAGACAGCCATGGCCACGTGTCCCCAGAAATGGAGCCCATCCGCCTGCTAGCATGGGTTGCCTCTGGCTATGTGATGTGGCAGAACTCAACTGAAAACACTAAGTTCCAATTTGCCCAAATTAAACATGTGAAGCAAGTGGTAAGTTACCATCAATGCCTTGCAAGAAAAATAGCATTTAAGAGCTAAGCAGTTGTGGCATGTACTAGAGTACAGCTGAAGCTAAGTTCTTAAGAAACCTCAACTGTGTCTGAACTTCTTGGTCCGGTTAGTTTTTAAGCCAATGTTTAGTATTGTTCCACCTACCCCTTTCCCATTCCTCTAGCAAATCATGAAGGCTTTCACTGATGGCTTGAGCGTTTATTTAGATCACTCCTTCTCTTCATAAATTTTGTTTACAGAAGCTGTGTCTTCCTGGCAAGAGCAGTATTCTACCCTTACTTAGTTAAGAAAATGGACTCTTCCACCTGGAGGTCATCATGTTGATTACGGTTTTATATTACTTCCCTGCCTTTCATCTGTAATGTAGGCCCAGCTGACAGTATTCTTGCATCTGCATAACATGCATTGGAATACTGTCCTTCATCTCTCCATCTACACCATGATCTAGCAATCAGTCACAGTAATACTGCTTGACATCCCTGCGATAGCCATGTCTAGGCAAATAGCAATGGGCTGCACCTCAAATTCAATAAAACACAATCTACATTGCTTTTGTTCGCAGTATTGCGGTCTCCATCCATTTGCTAGTTCACCTCAAAATGCTAATTAAGAAAGAAAATATTGATCTAATTCCACTCTCGTTACTAGCTTTTTTTATTTTGTTCTTCCCAAACTTACTTTTACTAATTTTTAATTATTTGGGGGGGATGGAGGGGAGAAGACCTAAAATTAATTTTTAGTTGAGCTCTTAGACTTACATTAGCATGATGAGCATCAATTAAGTTTATGATAAGAAAATTGAATTCAGGAAGATGCGTCACAAGACAGAAAGGGAATGGAATACTTCAGGACAAAATATTTTCTATTTTCACTTACTTCTGAGTGGTTACAAGTGATGTGTTTATCTTGAGCAGATCTGGATCTGCCCTAAGCTAAGAAATAAAAATGACTGGCAAATCTCACTATAGCTATTCAAATTAATTGAGTCATTAGCTACCACAATCAACAGGCCTTGCAGATTTCTTGCCTGGAACAGGCTTAAACTGATAAAGCAACTTGCTTTCAGAAAAGTTTTTATCAGAGCAAAATTTTTGATTTTGCTTTTAAATTAATAGAACTCTATAGATTCTCCCAGTTTTTCTCTGTTCTATTTGGAGAAAATGTCCTGTGAGTTAGGAATAACTCCTACAGGGATGGTCAACTTTAAATTCAAGGAAATTTAGTGTGTAAGCTAGGATAAAGAAGCAGGACTTTGTGTTTAGAAAACCCAATATATCAGGAGTCTTCAGAACAGGCTTTCAGAGGCCGAATGTTTTGGCACTCAGAACAGCCAGTGAATTCCCATGAAGTTCTGGGTATGAAGGAAAGGCAGAAACTTATTCTTGGAGCGTGATTTGTTAACATTTTGCTCCCTCTGATGGCTATCTGAAAGCAGTTCACAGACGCTGCAGGGCTGTGCACAAGCAAGATTTTAAAACCCTCTTTTAACAAACCAGATGAATTTAAGGACAAGGCAGACGGAATAGTATTAAATTAAACCAGCTGTCATCTCTCTCCAGTAATTTTGATCCTCTTCCCTGAAGAATAGGTATGTAAAGAGTATGTTCCAAAGGCCAGTGGGTATTCTGTCACACAATCACTGATAACTTGTTATCCACTGTAAGGCCTCTGGAGTTCCCTCCAAGTCTTATCCTACTGACAATTTTATTTAGGATTATTTGGGCTAAATTGACACTTTATAGAACCAGGTGTTCCCTTCCCAAATGAGTTCCTGAGGTTGAGATATATCTAGCTTCTCTAAGGGAGGAATTAGCATGGTTTTAAGTTTCACAGTCTCTCACATGTAATTTTGGAGTTCACAGAAATACAACAGTATCGTTTTGTTATAGTGACTAAGCTCCATCCGCTTTATTTGTTAACACGAGCTGCCAGTTTTATCCAAAATATATCAGAGAGTTTTTATGCTAATTAAAGAAAACTGATTCACTACTTTCAAGGTGGGGGGAAGCCACAAATTCAACCCTTTTCATCTTGTCTTTCCAGAAAAGAAGTGATGAATATCTTGAATTTGACTACATGATTCTACTTCATGAAATGGTGTCCCAGGTAAAGTCTTTATTTCTAAAAAGCCTTTTTTTGTTTTAAGACTGCCAACTGTGTAACCTCCAATTCAGACACGCAGATAGTGGGGCGGTTGCAGATCTGATGCCTGCAGGCCACTTAGCAAACAGGGTGAGATTAGGGCAACGATCACTGTCGGTCTCAGCGTTACCGGCTTCTGCCCCCTATGCAGGCAGGAGACAACAGGTCTCCAACTTGTGTCAGCAGACAGTAATTTTCAGCTATTTCTGGGCCCTTCTTGGGAACAGCAGAGGTTTAATATACTGGTCATTCACACAGCTTTCTCCTCTCGGGAGATACTATTGCTAAACAGGCTAGGGATAAAGAGAAGAAGCAGCTGCCAGCATCCTGGACTGCTTAGCTGCATTCCAGCTGGAGCTGTAGAGTGCTTCTACGCTAGAGGACAGCAGTGGTGGACCAGTAGACAGAGTAGCTCTCAGAAGAAAGCACCAGAAACTTTGGTTCCCAGAACAGTATTTACATTCTATGTTATTCTCCATCCTAATTTTGCGATCTGAGCAAGTGTTTTCATAAGAAAAATGCAGAAATTTTGAAAGATAAGTTCTCGATTGTGCAACCTCCTTTAATAAATCATCCAAGGAAAACAATCAGGAGATCTCACTCCCACTTCTAGCTTCACTGCCTCCTTACCCCACTGCACTCTCAGGTAAGTTGGGGCATCTGTAGTGTTTTTAGTTCCTAAGTTTTCTATGAAGAAAAACTCATGAGAAGTAGTAGCTAACAATTGCAGAACAAAAGCATAGGTTCTTCATTGTGCTTGGTTTGGTGAAGGGCAGGTATCCCAAAATATCAACAGCACTAACAGTAAGAGGGGTAATCCAACACAGACATGCCTGAGCTGCAAAACTTGCCTAGATAAAGAAAAACGTAGTTGCCGCAGCATGGAGTACAACACAGGCTGAAAAAAGCTTGCAGGAGAACTTCAGATATTTGGACAGGTCACAGGACTGCACGTTACAGTGCCTACCCTGCGCTGTTACTGGTGCTTGATCAGCCTACTTATAATGAGCCCAGGTATGGCTGTGTTACAGTAGTCAACTCCCGTTCAGTATTGTTCAAAGAACATACCTTCTCACTTTCTACAGGAGATCATTCCCTGGCAAATGACAGTTCTCTGGCACCCACAGCATGGCATTCAAGTAACACAGGACAGCCGTCAGCCAAAACATGCATCGGAATAACAGACCACCTCATACCGCAGGGGAAGAAGCTCAAATGCTACAATAAGCATTTGAAGGGAGGGCAGATAAGTTATGAGGGTGGATATGCAATCAAGGTACGAAGAAAAAAAGTCCTTCCTCAATTAAACTTTTCCTGTACATTGTGCTTTTATCTGATAATCCAAAAGGCACTTTCTCTGCTACATAATCAAATTCTGCATCAAAGTAAATTAAAAAACCTCTGTTGCCAGAAAGAATACTTACGACACAGGTGCGGAGATGTTCTCCCTGAAGGCAACTTTTGGCTTTCCCATGGTGCAAGGGCAACCGTATTCCCTTTCCATTCGCTGCAGGAAAAAAAAGCAGAATGAAATACAGAGTTGTTCCATTGGAACAATACATTGGAAATTATTTTATTTACAGATCTTTCTGAAATTAGAAACTTAATCAGGGTTAACCAGTTTTTTCGTCTGGGGTTGGATTGATTTTTGGGGTCTTGGTGTTTTTTTTTTTTTTTCCAATGTTACGAATTATTCACTGTCAACCTGCAGTCATCCTTGTGCAGGGGCTATAGCTTTAGATACAGGAAAAGGGAACAGCATTAATTATTTTACTCAAATTTAAGTTTTCCAAGACAAAAGCCATCTTTTCTTCATTCTGTCAACAATTCAGATACATCGATTGTGTTAGACTCAAATAAAGTATGGACATCGTCTTGAAAGAAACAAATAAATCACTAAGCAACTATTCCCTCCTGCCTGCATCATCTCTTATTATAGAATATTTCTGTGTCCTGTAGGAAATCGCTAACGGTAAAAATTTTTATAAGCAAAGGCTGCTAAAGCAAAGCGTAGTGCTTAATACAGCATTTTTTATGGATTTGAACCAAAAAGTAAAAATATTCCAGGCAGAAATGTCATTTAAATAGTTTACAACCCTCAAAATAGAACCACTGGAGAGAGAGATTCTTCAAAAGTTGACTAAGAAGTTAAACTCTTCCCTAAGCAGCTAGTATTGTTCACATTAATGCCACAGTGCTTTCTGTGGGGAAGGTCTCAAAACAGTTGTCACACGATAACCCTGATTTAGACTAAAGCAAGTGGAATTGTGCACCTCCAAACATCCTGTAAACGTGATGTCAGCTTAGGCACCCAATTACAAAATCAGGCCCCTAAAGGTTGGCATCAGTTAGCCCCTCTGCAGATAGTTTTTGGTACAGCAATGCAATGTCTTGGGCAGAAAGGAAGGAGAATTCTTGGTTGGGAAAACAATCAAAACCAGAGTCTGTGGAATGTGCTTTCCAAATTACCTGGGCATAGATTTCCAAGTGCAGTTCCCCCATTCCAGAAACAATGGTCTCTTTGCTCTCATCATCAAAATGGATTCTAAAGGTGGGATCTTCCCTTGTAAAGCGGTTCAGGCCTTTTGAAAACTTATCAAAGTCATTCTGAAAAACAATTACACACACACAAGAAAACATGAACATCCAGAAGTCACACAACAAAAAGGCCTCAAATTCTTCTATCAACTGCTTAGCGCTTCTACTCTCATGAGGTTATTTTCTGAAACACAGCCATAAATTTATAACTGTATTTATCCCTCCAGTTACTTCATGTCCATGTTTACCCAGGTCAAAGACATGCATCTTCTTTATGGCTAAGTGATACCATCTAACGCAATTCACATGCTGAGTTATCTGAACGACATCTTCTTACGTACTTTGAGGATTTTATTACGCTGCTCATTTTAGTCTCTGGTTCCACATCTAATGGCTAACCTGCATAAAAATTATAAAAGCAGCAGAGGAAAGATAACTCAGAAAAAGGTTGATTCATAGGCTCCTACCTTGTTGGAAGGCTTCATAGCTACTGAAATGACAGGATCGGGGATGTGAATTGATTCCTGCAACGACCATAAAGGAAGAGATCATACAGTCGAGTTCCACTACACCTGGTGATGTAATTTCTCCAGAAAAGTTTGGTCACAAGAATTCAGGGTTACAAACAGGGATGACTGTTTTACTTATCTAGCTCATATGTATTATCATAGCATAACAAAATTTTTAACTCTCCTGAGGATTACTACAAGGCTGTAACGCAATGCGTGCCATACTGCCAGCCACAGTATTTCTAACACCGTTTCCTAGATTTAAGATAATCTGGTTTCACACTAGTTAGAAGACTCTGCTTCCTATCAGATTTTGTAAATATATATATATATCTGTAAAAATAAAACTGATGCATTTAAATAAATTTACAAATACATAGCTTAATAGTTTTGAGTAACAGCATCCACTTCGAACAGCCCAGAACAGTTTGCTAACACTGAAGTAGTATTTGATGTCAAGCATAGTAAACAGGTATGTATCTCTCTTGCACACAGCATACTTCTATATATTCAGGCTTCTTAAGGTATAAGAAATAACCACAAAAAATATTTGTGGTTGTGTATACATCAAAAAATATTTATATTGAACAAATGATTACAAACTTTCACAACAAAATCCTGGTGAATTGCAATGCATGAGGCATACAGATCAAAAGGGGTACTCACCATGGAAATGTCAGTACTGGTTTTATCAGTGAACGTGTCCCCACTAGCACAATCAATTCCAAACAGCGCACATATGTCTCCCGCGTAAACTTCATTTACATCCTTAAGAAAGAAAAGTTTACTATTTAGATAACACTGAAAGATATATTACAAACTACACCTGGTTTTAAGAAGATATATAAATACTGTGTTTAAAAGCTTGAAGTTAAGCTCCTTTGAAAATTCCAGCTTTGATAAAATCCTCTGTAAATCTTCTCTCTCTTTATTGAAAGCACAAAAAGGAGACCTGAGCTTGGATGCGAATTTGTTCTAGTTTAAGGATGCGAACACACTATGTTTTAGGCAATCCTGACCCAGCTATAGAGTTCAGGAATTTTAAACAGGAAAGGGTAGGATTTGCAGCAGCTTGAGAATCAATTTTTAGTTCAAGAATTGTATTCAGTGATCACATGGAAGAAAACTTGTGTATTTTGCTAGTCCTATTTCCCCTCTCCCAGAAGTACAGAATATGGGGATAATACCACAGCTGGCTTGCTTTAGCTATCACCTCAAAGCCATTTTATAGTGCTTCTTGGGCAAAGATTCTTCCACTTCAGTGGAAACAATACATTAGAGACCAGTTCCAGTTTCTTGTAGAGCTCTAGTAAGTGCTACAGACAACTATCAATTAACAACAACAAAAGCAGAAATTTGACATATTGCATTGTTCAGAGATCACTGGAAAGTGAGAAGCTTGTTTAGTAAAAGTGGCTCAAAAGGCAATCTGTGTGGATTGTACCTCTCACACTCACCTCCATGTTGTCTGAATGCATACGGACAAGTCTTTGCACACGCACTCTCTTCCCAGTCCTAGTGTTATATATATAATCAGATTTCTTCAGCATCCCCTGATAAACTCGAATATAAGTTAATTGCCCAAAACGGCCAGCCTGGAATGAAAATTCATTAAAAATCAGATATAATCATTCTGGGAGTCAAGACCACTACTATTCAAAGCATCATTTGCACTAACTGACTAAATGTTTCTGTTTTGATTTTACACACTAGACACGTAAATGAAACTTTTATTAACATAGTCTCAGCTTTCACTTGGCTCTGGAATAGAATCTGGCATCTCCTGGCAATTTTCTTTACTTCACCAATTTTACCACTCCTAAACTTTCCCAACAGAGGCATACATTAACTAGCAATTTGGCCAGCCACTTTCCATATGAAATCTGAACTGCTACTCTCTAGGTAGCAAAAAACTTGTTTGGTTAAGACTTTGTACTTTTTCCTCTCCAACTCTCTCGTGTTCCATTGTTTTCAACTTCAAACGAAACCAGGATTTTTCTCTGAAAGCATTTGAAATAAGCCCATAACCCCCCCAAATGTTCAGGTTTTAACTAAGAAAATCATGAAGTATTTGAGGCACATAGCCCATTTTAAAACTTCCAAATTGGCAGTGTTTGATACATTTGTGGATTTATGGTGGAAACCAGTTTTTTAAAAGAAGTTAAATTTAAATTTAATTTAAACATAAACTTATTTTAAAATTTGTTCTACATAAGTTTTGGCAGTACCATCTATTTGGACTCGCTCTATTTTCTCTCAAATCTGGAAACCTTCCTTTCTTCTTCACAGTGAACACAATGTGAGTACAACTTTTGCCCCGCAGAGGTCAGATACTGGTAGCGTGGGAAACTTGCAAGCAATTGAATAAAGTCAGCTAAATAATGTCCTGGGCATCCATTCTCTAGAAACTTTCTGCTTAGCTTTACCATATACACAGCGACCAAGTAAAAAAGCCATCACATGCACAAAGAGAGAGACTGAAAATACAGAGCTTTAAATATGTGCTTTTCCCCCCAAAACAAAAGGCACTTCCCAGGCATTAATGACAAGCCACCAATAGCTCAGTGCAAGGAAGACTTGCGTACACCACAAACTCTTGCAGAAAATGCCCTGCTTCTCTACTGGTTTTGCTGCATCAGAAAGGAAAACAGTAACAGCTTACCTCCAGTTTAAAAGCAAGGCCTATAAAAGGCTGGGAATCATCTCGAGCAGAGTTCAATAGGAACTTGGTTTTGTCCTCAGACTCCCTTAAAAACAGGGATGGAGAGGGAGTTTATGTTATGAATCAAACATGGCAGCCTCCTCTAAACATAAGCCGAACCTCAGAAAGTCCCAAGGGCCTTCAGTTTCCTGTTTGTAACTGAGACTTAAAAATGCTCACATACGTAGCTCCCATGTGCTCAGAAAGTACCTCAGAGAAACTGCAGCAGATCCCCAAAAGGTCGAAACTATGACAAATATCACTAGTCCTTCATATCATCCAACTATTTTGCCATGAAAGCAATTAATCATACACTCAGACACAACTCATGAGCAAGTCCAGTTTTAGAGTGAAGAAAGAAACATCACACTATGCTCTGACAATGCTCATGAGCCATGTGAGAAGTTTTAGTCCATCGTAGTAGGCAGATCTTAGAGGCAGGGAGAGGCACAACAGCAGTGAGGACTCAAAAGAGTCAGGTAACCCCTGGGAGAAAAAGTCATAAACTCTATTTATTAGCATCATTTCTATTTAGCTATCATTATATTGTCTGAACAACTCAAACACATTAAGCGTGTTATGACCACCCCTAAGCCATGACTGGAATGTTAAAGGCTATTTACTGGCTCTAATGTTGGGTTTCATGCTTCTTAACTGTGAAAGCACATCAACAAACACGTCCAAAGAATAAAATGTTGTTTATACATTTCAGATATGTTCTCTCCTCTACTGTAGGCATGGTTTTAAGGGTTGCTGTTAATTTCTAAGAAATTATCTCATCAGATATTAGATTTGAAAAATTACTATTTAATGTGTGTTAAAAATACCATAACCCTCAAATGAGAGAGGAGCTTTCTTAGTTTTGGAAGTTTGTGCAAAATTATTTAATATGAATGGTAAATGATCATATATTTTGTTAGTAATATTTCCTGCTACATATTACACTGCTTTGAAACCCAATTTCAAGACCACTCCTTATGCTCATGAATATACTTACCCCTGGTTAATAATAGCATAGTTCTCAACCTCTGAAGGATTCGGGAGGTATTCCAGGACGGCATCCAGCAACGGCTGTACTCCTTTGTTCTTTAAAGCACTTCCCACAAGCACTGGGGTAAAGGACTTCTTCAGTGTTGCTCTTCTGATTGCAAGCTGAAAAATATCCGTGCATTACTCTCCTCCTGCAACAACTTCAGGAGTCTGACACAGTACCAACCAGGCAGCAGTCTAGATTCTCTCTCTCTCTCTTTGCTGGTCATCTCTACTGGAGTAAAGTAGCTGCTCCCACACAGTCTCCTGTACAACCCCCTGCACATAAAACTTACTCACCAGAATTCTAGAAGCGTGAGGGGTTTTTTCTCCCCTTATCTTAAATTCAACTTAAAAATGAAAATGCCCAAGATAAATATAATGATAACCCCCAAATACTCAGAAAGTTTCTTGATTTCTCAGCTGGTAAAGTCAGGACTCTTCATTTCTGATTTAGATGTCTGTTCCCCCTATTTAGTTATGTTGGGACACAATACACATTTAAATTTGTGGAAGTAAGATGAGATGCTTCAGTATCTTTAAACTACAGAAAACTCTTCTGAAAGAGGAAGTTAGGTAGGGAAGGGATATTTGGCTAAGTGCCATGCTCAATGAATCATCATTTTTTGAAGAATGGTTTAAAAAGTGCAACAGAAGAACCTATTTACATTCATCTACAGACCTGCTGAAGTTGCACCAACTGTCTTGGGAATCTTTCCAGGATGTCCTGGTAAACTAAGAAAGATAAACTAACTGCACAGTAATCTCATGCTTATTCAGTGCCTTTCACTCAAGCATCACACGATGTTACAAAGCACAACTGAGCACCAACAACTTCCGTAACAGTGATCATAGCCATCTTCCATAAAGGTGGACAGAAGCCATCTGCCCCCCTCCTATCCTGCAATTAATTACTGAAGCCGAGATTGCCACCTTGGTCCCACCTCTCCCTGCCACTAGAGGATGCCATCTCCCTACACTTCCAGGCCCTCACTCCAACTGAAAGCAGCTCCTGTCTTCTTTGATAAACTAAAAGAAATTAATTCTCCTTGATAGACCAAGATAGTTAACCACATCATCTAATCTGGGAGTTACCTGGAGTACCCCAAGACAGACAGTTAAGATATCTCCACAATTAACAGAGAGAACAGTAGTTGCTTAAATTTGTTGATGTAATGACTTCACAAAAATAATACAAGGAAAAAATCCTACATCAACAATTCTGCTCATCTAGCCCATGTCTGTTCTCATATACCAGAGCACTGGAAATATGGCTGTACTGATGCCCGGTGTTTTTATTCGGCCACGTGTTTTCAAATGAAGCAACATGACTGCAATTTATCCTCATCAACAACTACCTTGAGGAAAAAAGTAATTTTATTTTCCCATAAAGATTATTGTCACTAAGCGCCCCACTGAGTACCTGGGGCACATCAGTTGAATGTAGCATTAGGGATAGCAGCAAATTAGGTGATGTTTAAGCAGCTGATCTTCAGCAAACATCATATGCTATGACTGTGGCATCCAGGAGTGATACTTAGCATCATTTCCACAAAAAGATTATTTTCAGTGGAAACCTGGCTGCTGGCCACTGAAAGAAAATCCATCTTCAGGGACATATTAGTACAAATTAACCTGCATCTACAACACTATAGCCATTAGAGCTGTAATTAATTGGCTTTCAGAAGTGGGAAGCAGAGGCATGCTGAACAGACAAATTTATCTTGGTAACAGATTTCCCTCCCAGCAGGAGCTATCAAAACCAGCTTCCTGTTAAAAATCTCTCACCTCTTACAGCAACACAGTGTATTCACATCAGTACCACTCCCTCTGCCAGGTGAAGGACAGATCCTTACAGGTCTCTAAAACTGCTATTACATTTCTGTCTTTATCAAAGTGAGAAGGGCTGCTTTGTAACAGGAATAGCTCAGGCTTTGTAAAATAGTATTTAATTACTGGAACAACTAAATGCCTGGTTATCAATAAGATATATATTTGCATGGTACTTTCAAAAAAACCCTTGTGCTTTTGTCTCAAGCCAAGCTGGGATATACAGGTTCTCGCATATTCTTCCTAGAGACATTAATCACCAGTAAGTCACCCGTACAGCCAAACCAATTTAAAAAAAAACAACAAACAAAAACAAACAAACAAAAAACCAAAACCAAAACCCACCTCCAAACCGAAGGTTTGTAGCAAAGTTAAAAGCAAGCAAAATTTAGGGGTCAGGAAAATTCAAATAAATAAACCTTAAGGGGCCTTGCAACACTCATCAGCTCTGAGGGTCTGCCAGTCCTCTATATCCCAACAGATAGAGTGGACAACTTCCAGGAAAGCAAGCACTGCAAGCCATAACAGGGAAAGGGCTACTGCACAGAGGCAACCAGGCACTGCTAATGGGCCAAATACTTAGAACAGGACTTAAATATCAAAGCTATGTTTAAAGTAGCAACCTCAGTGATCACATCTGATCTGAACTCAGCTGGCCTAGCAGGCTCCACTCAGAGTTAACAACTCCTGCTTATAACATATATGTCTCAATTCAGCTTGTCTTCTTCAGCTACCAACTGAAGCACGCAGCTGCAGGCAAAGAAAAGCAAAAGGAGGTAGCAAGTGCCATGTCAGGCAGGCTCCGGGCCCCAGGGAGACTCCGTGCAACACCACTGCTCAAAGACAAGCTGTTCTAGCTCCAAAAGTAGCTCTCTTCGAAAAAGCGGTCTGTCTGCAAGGCTTCTCCCACTGCAATGGGCTCTTCAGACCTCACTTTTTTATTTAATCACATTAAGCAACTGGTCTCCTGTAGCAGTTTCAATTTTTGACTCATTAATAACTATTAACAGCAGGCACTAGAAGATTACCGCTCAAGTTAACTTCCAACACTAGCAAGAGGTGGTGGCTGACAGCAAGATGCATCACACAAATCCTTGCACCGAGCGTGCATTAAGGGCAAAAACCAACCATGCTGAGATCAGGCCTGCAAACCATACAGCCCTCAGTACGGTTCCCTTACGCTACCGTCTGCCAAGACACAAAGCCTCACAGACTGCTGTGTGTCAACAGCTACATGTTGCTGTCTTGAGTTACACACCTACCCCATGGGGCTGTGCGGTAAACGCAAACCAGCTTAGCACTTCTTCTCTAAGGGTACGTGTCCTCAGATTAACTTTACGCTCACGACACAGCAGAAGCAGGTCCACGTGCGGCACAGGCTCTCTTATGCTCATGCCAGGATAGCCAAGCTTTTGCACCTGTCCTGACTAAAGCTAATACCACAGTAACTCAAGAAGCATCATTAGTCAACTACAAACCTTAAAGGGACTGCCATCCCACGTAACAATCCGCTATGGTACGTGTCGATTGCCAAGTCTGACATAAAACAGTCTAAAAGAAGGAATATACGTTAGTCTGCTGTCCAGCCTCCAAGGAACTGCACAAGCAGATCTCACCCTGGAGCGAACAGTAGCAGTACTTGGATAAAGACTGTACAACTGCAGCTGATCTCCCTAGGCCTCCCTACCACCTTTTATTATGTAGACATGTGCTTGAAGAAACAGTGATACCAAACTGTCATGAAAACAAGTAATTTTCAAGTCCATGGCCATCTGATTACTTCTGTGAGCATCCTTTTATGTTGGCACATTTGCCATTTGATATCTGAAGTATTTAATAAAATAAATCACATATCAATTTTTTCCCCTCATTCAAGAAAGGCAATTCTCTTCCTTTTTTTTTGAAAACTGTGTTTTGACCTGGATTCTTTTCCTCTGGAGTCTCCAAGTAAAGTCATTGCAGTTCCCTTCTAGTGTACTGCTCTTTTCACTTCGAATATAATCAGTGCAAATAAAAAACAAGGCAGGATTTCCCAGGCACAAAGATGACTTACAGCATGTCAACAACTGACTTGCTGTGGGACACGAAGCAAGTCATAGCCATCAAGCTGTAACATGGGCAAGGCAACAGAATGACAAAAATGACTAGGTGAACCTTTCAGCCATGTGCTAGTCCCTAAAGGGCACACACAAGCTCAGTCTTTCCAATGCAAATCAAAAAAACAAATTTGGAATGGGCCCTCAACATGGAGTGAAGTGGGAGTCCACCTGTGGGAGGTGACACTCATACCAGAGAACTCAAGCATACAAAATTTCTTCAAGACTTCAAGAAATTTTTTATTGGGGGGAGGGGGAGAATAGTGACACAAAAAAGTGAGATAACACTGCTACAGGAAGAACCACCACAATAAAGTTACCTTTAACTCAGCTGCTGTAGGAATCTTTTCTTCCAAAAACAGCTCCCCAAGTTGATCATCCGAGTTAGCAACACATTCGATCAATTCCCGACGTCTTTCTGCAGCCTCAGCTCTAAATTCAGCTGGAATTTCATCATACCGAAGAGTCTGGCTACACATACATAAATAACATAACCACTCTAAAGGAGTACCACATGAATCAACCTTTCAATCACTAATCATTGTTGTGACCAGCCCGACCAAGAAAAATTCACCGTTGACATGGATATTGAGGGGAAAAAAAAACCCACATGAAAACATCAACATGCTTGAGCAGGAGAGGGTTTCTTCCCACTCTTAGTAGGAGCTTGCAAGGATGCGGGATAACCTGTTCAACAACCTCACCCACATCTTATCTTCACCCCAGTAAGCTCACGCCAAACATCAGTTCCCGTTATGAAGCAAGTCTCTTATTTCTCAGGGTGGCAAGTGTGGCTACCACCTCTCCGCACTACTGCGGTTAGCAAACAATTCATGCTGCAGCTACCCATCACTAAACCTGACCCTGCAGAATCATTTTGCTGTAACTTGGAGAGCTGAAGGGTGATACCTCAGCCCTAGAACAAGCCACATCCCTAACTTTCCAAATAGCAGGCTTTTTCATCTCCGAAGAGAAACTATAGGTAGTTCCTCATACAAAGACTAGCTCCAGCTAAGAAACATGCAAGTTTCAAAACTTACCCAAGTGCGCCATCAAAATATATAGCTTTTTCTTCAATAAGATCTATAATTCCTTTAAAGTTTCCCTCCAGCCCAATTGGAATCTGAACAAAAGCTGCATTGTGTTTTAACTTGGATCTGAAAAAGAGAGCAAATATAAATTAGTTCAAGAAAAAAGTTGTTTCTATATATGTGCTCCAGATGGTCTTTGAACAACATCCCACTCCTACAAAATCACCATCTTTTGTTCTTTGGACAGTGCCAAAAATCTACCAATACTGATGAAAAATGCCTAGTTGCATTTTAACCTGAGTGATTGCCAGCCCTCTATATCCCAACAGCTACAGTGAGCAACTTTCATGGGAAAGAAGGCAGTGCAAACTGGCTTCAGATTAATTACTTGATTATGCGAGTTGCTTCTCCCTTAATGTGTATTAATGCATGTATCTCACACATCAGATCAGGCACAGAAAGACTGCAGGTAAGGAGCAAGCAGGACTTCTGGTATCCAAACTAGAAAATGTCCAACCCTATGTCATTTTCCTGCTGTAAGCTACAGCACATTTCCTACCAGGACCTAGGAAAAATTAAAACGCTGTTCTCAAAGTGGCTCCAAATATAGTTCCATCAACAAAATAAATACCAAAACCCCAATTCTTGGTCACTGCAAGCCTGGGCTGACATTAACATTTGTTTTTCGTGATAAAATGGACACTTGCTATAGGTCAGATTAAGATTTAACCTCAAGTCAGGTATTATCCTCCAAAACTGCAACTACAGACCCCATGAGAGAATGCTTTTCAACATTCTTAGTATTAACCTGCTATGTGAATAGTTCAGAATTATCTCACAAATAATTTAAAATGATAAATACCTCAATTGTTGTACTGCTCTGGTTGGACTAGAGCCCAGTCTGTCCAGTTTATTGATGAATGTTAAAAATGGCACACTATAACGTTTCATTTGCCTGTTCACAGTTATTGTCTGGCACTGAACTCCTCCAACAGCACAGAGAACCAGAATAGCTCCATCAAGAACTCTCAAAGATCTCTCCACTTCAATTGTGAAGTCCACATGTCCTGAATAACAAACGCCCCAGTTATTCACAGATGACAAAAGGTAATGAGAAATTGTTTTCTCATACACGCAGAAAAAAGCAACAACCAACAGAATCAGTCTCCAGCTATACAGAAAGAGCCACATTAGCTCAACTTAAGTGATTAACAAACAAGAAGACGGCACCGTGTCCTTTGTATACACGAAGGAACAGCAATCGTAATGTGTTCAGAACTGTTGTTACCTGGCGTGTCTATGATGTTGATGTTGGTGTCTTTCCACATGGTGTATGTTGCTGCAGACTGAATTGTGATTCCACGCTGTCGTTCTAGCTCCATTGAATCCATGACAGCCCCAACTCCATCCTTACCTCTCACCTTAGGAGAAAATAAAAAGAAAAAAATTTAGTCCAAGGGAGTTTACTAAGAATTTTGCATGTGCAGGAGTGATGCTTTACATACTGAGCATCATCTTTCATGCAGTGAAGAACAGCAGACATGGCAGAATCACTTATAATCTTTGGACTACAAGCAAGTTTGATTTTTTTGCAGCTGCACCTGCAAGTTTAATGTATTTTGCTCTCCTGAGGATCATTCCTGAAAAAGGTTATCAGAAATCTGCTAGAAATTATGCTTCACTGTGAATTTAACAAGATAACATACCCAAAGCTAAAAATTACATCCCTGTGTTCTCTGTTTCTCACAGTCATCTTTGAGTACATCAAAAGAAACATGTATCTTCCATGTATGTTTACCATGGAGATGGTAAGGGAGCAGTAAGTCTTTAAATAAGATTTGAAGTGTTCTGAAAGAGGGAGAACACTGCAGTGAAGGAGGAATTACTTTCTATCCCTTTGACCTCCACTTATTTTTAAAGGGGTATCAGGGAAACCAGCAGATTTTTAGGATTCCCTCTCCAGCTTGACCAGAAGAGCCGCGCTGGGCCCACCAAGCGTAGCTCCCTCACCCCACGCATTACACCGTGCAAATGAACAAGTCCCAGCAACGTTTCAATGGCACCCAGCATGCTCAGCCCACGAAGAGCAGCTCTTTTCCGGAACCCTCTGAAAACCCGACCTCGTGCATTTGTGCTATCCTGCCCGTATAGAAGAGGATTCGCTCCGTTAACGTCGTCTTCCCCGAGTCGATGTGGGCCGAGATCCCAATGTTGCGGATCCTCTCATTGGGAAGCACTCCTGAAGAACAATGCCTGCAGGAGTTCAGGAGAAACTGAAAGGCAAGAGAAAATTGCCGTTTTAGTTAGGAACAGATCAAACGCGGCTCAGTGTGCTGACAACGTCCAGTCAGTCAGCTTTTCTGCGGCAAATGGGTCATTTATAGCAAAACGCCCTTTTCCAAGCACCCACCGGGTCACGTCAAAGCTTTCCGCTGCACTCGAAGAACGTAGGCAATCCCTCCGGGCTAAGTCCGGCTTTGCCAGCCCCGCTTTTCAAACCCCGCCGTTATGTTCCCACTCTACCCTTTTTCTCCTCCTACTCCTTTGACCGAGCGGCTGCACGTTTTCCTGCAGCTGACGGGGTGCTTTCGGGCGGGCCTGTCCTCTACCCCGCCACCATCCCCTTCTCCTCGGCTCCCCTGCTTCCCGCCCGCCGCCTCAGGAACGGGCAGGGGGGGCCGCATCTCCCGCCCGGACACCCGACATCTTGCGTCCGACCTCCCCGCGGTCAGCTCGGCCCTCACAAGGGCTTCGCCGGGCCCTGACAGGCCGCGTCCCCGCGCCTCCTCCGCAGAGGCTCCCCCCCTTCTCCCCGCCCCCCGCCCCCCCCCACAAAATGCCCGCCGCGGGTTCCCTGCCGCCGCCGCCGTTGCTGCTGTTGTTGCTGCAGGAGCCTCGGCGCCGGTCCGGTCCGCAGAACCCGCAGCATGGCTCCCTCCTGCCGGCCCCGGCCCCGTTGTTTCCGGGGCACCGCGCATGCGGAGCGGGGGAACGGGCCGCCCTCCCCGGGGTCAGCCCGCCGCGGGGCCGGGGGGGAGGCCGCGGTGGTGGTTCTTGGGACGGAGCCCCCTGAGCGTTTTAATTAGCCGCCTTGAGGCAGCGATGAGGATTTTGTGCTGCTGCTGGCAGCGCTTGAAGACGCGGTCATCAGAGCAGTACTGTAACTGCAGAGCAGGATTAGCTGATTTTACAAAAAAAGGCTGGTCTCGAGTGCAGGGGTACCGCTCGCAGGCATGCTCACCCTAATTAGCAGCAACTACAGAGCCGGGCTCCGCGTCAAAAAAAACAACAGTACGGCAGCACTGCATGAAAAAGGAAGGGAAAAAATAATAAAATCTCATGGTACGTAGGAGGATGCTGCGTGGAGCGGAGGCAGCAATCTATAACGCTGTCAGTGTTGGGTTGCAACGGCAAGGAAGGTTCAGTCACGTCGGCGTTGCAGGTACACAGACGGAGCAGCCCCGCTTAGGCCAGGAGGTGAAGTTGATGCCGTTGCTCTGCATAACTTCCCTCTCATAAACACCACTTCTAAAAGAGGAGATTCTCGCATTCAGAATCAGGTAAGAGCATCCATACCGTGGCTGTTAGAAGAGATGGCATACATGGCTCAGGGAAGCTACAGTGTGTACCTATAGTCTCAAATATACAAAAAAAAAAAAAAAATCCCCCACTACTAGGATCGCAGCAGGAACAGTTCCAGAGGAGACTCCAAGAGCAGTTCTGCAGCAGAGAAAGGGCCTGGCCATCACCATAGTCAAGTCCCACCCCCATCCATTCATTTCGGGCAGGCAAACTTTTTTTTTGTGGTAAATGCATGTTTTCCTTCTGGAAACGGAGGGGCATACTTGCCCCCATTGTGTTGCTAGTGGTGTCACATATAAGAATGTTTCAGAGCAGCCCAAAATAAGTAACACACAAGTCATTTTGTGGTGTAGAGTAAGCCAAACAATAACCATAAATAATAAATAACTTTATTAAAGAATTACAGTTTCAGATGCTTCTACATAGAACAGTTTCTTTTGCGTTACATTTTAGAACATTGTTTTGCATAACAAAGTAGTCTGTATCGAATATTAGCCTCTTTCCACTATAATTTTAAAACCATAGTATGTAGTTGTTTCATTGATTACACGTACGTATCATGGTTTTTTATCTCAGTAAAGCATAGACAAAAATCCGACAAAAATGCTATTTTCTGTTAAATAGCAGTGCTTCTCAAATCAAGGATTTCTGAAGTTAAACAGCAGGAAAGTTTTTTGTGTTCTATTACTGGGAGGTTTAAGTGCCATACCTGGAAAATGCCTCCACAGCCTTACATTCTCAATGACGTTTATTGCAAAATGGATGTTGCCTTCAGGGTACGGAAGATCAGGCCCTAGAGTTGTACTCTTACTTTATAAGGAGAGCAAAAGCATCCTTTAGACTTGGGGTTCTGGCAGACATCCTCTGCCAGGCTTGACTGATCCCACGCTGTTTCAGCCTGTCCTTCTGTCAGAGGTTGCTATCCCTGTATCAGGGGTGGCAGAAGTGTACACGTCTGCTCTAGAACACACCCTGCCTATTAAAGTAAACCATCTCTTACCTTGGCTGCTCGTAGAATGGTTCAACAGCACAAACTTATTGCCACTAGTATTTGCTCCAGTAATAGAAAGAGACCACTGCATTAAACAAGCAAAGAAACAATTGTCTTTCCCTTGTCAGAGTTCAACAGAAGTACTTTTGATTACTTTTGCACATTAATAAACATAGAATTAAATAATCTGGGGCATCTGCAGAAAGAAGTGATTTAAAGGCCATTGCCTTTTTAGCCGAACAAGTATTAATCTTACCAAATATATTTTCTTTTATAAATAGTGCCTTTTTTTTTTTTAAGGCTGCACTATTATGTTTTAGCCTTGAAATATACGCTATAGTGCTAATGCTAGTGTTACAGTCTACAGAAATCACTTACACTATGACATGGGGATCAATTCTGCATAACAAAACAGCATACAAACTTAACGCTTCTAAAACAAAGACCTTTCCTGTTCTCAGTCACACAATTGGCTTCTCTAGCACACCAGACTCTTTAACCAAACAACAACAACAACACGGGAGATCAAGTGTTGGATTTCAGATCGTTCTACATCCACTAAAAACAGGACACAAAAGAATACGAACAAATCTCAGCTAAGGGGGGAAATGGTTTCCTGTATGCAGGGCTCTTCTAGCTTTTTAGAGCAGAATGGTGTAATCATTTGTTATCCAGTTAAACTACTGCCTACTCAACCAATGTCTCCCACATATTTTTCTGATTAATAGTTACAGCTGAGTTTGAGGACACAGTGGTATTATTACAGAATAATTAAAAGCTACTACAGAGAATCTTCAAGAATGAAAAATAATGGGCCACCTCCAAAGGAAATATCCAAAGGATCAAAAAATACAAAATTGACAGTCTAGGCACAGAAAATAAGAGATGCAAGCACAGCTTATGAACATAACAACGCTAATAAACTAAAATTTGTTTGAAGTATCTGCCATTTTAGTATTTCCTCTCACTTTACGTCATGTTAAAGCAAGGTGAATCTCGGGATCGTGTAACAATTTACAGTATGATTTTAAAGCAAGATTATATATAATGGCTATTTAATTTCTATTAATTGCAGTAGCACCTAGAAAATTAATAATTATTTCAGCCACACAAAATAAAAAGATAATTTACTTTCTGCGCAAGTTACAGAGTGTGGGAAAAAGTAGTTGCATTACAAGGCTTAATAAAAAGTCTTGTAACTGAGACTGGTGCAGTTGTAGCAGAAAAAAATCTTGCAAATGAAAGCTTTTTTTAAAATTTTTTTAAACAGAATTAGTGATAATCCATTAAAGTGCTTTTAAGTGGAAAGTTGGAAAGTTGCTGGTTTTTTAACTTACTGAAACTAGATGGTTTAACCAAGGGTCTGAAATTTTAAAGAACATAAAGTTGTCAAGAGATGGGAGTAGCAAGCCACGCTAATACTTACTAAAACAAAGAACAGAAATTGGTCATATATGTGTGTATACTTATAACATAAGCAATGCAGCACCATTATGTTCTCTGAAGAAACTCCATTCAAATGGAGAATGGAAGCAATTTATTTTTTGCTGCTTTTGATGGGGACATGTGTTCCTTTCACATTGAGATTCTCCAAAGAAACTCTGGGCTCCCTGGAACCTGCAAGCGCAAGTGGTTTCTCTCTGAAACAAAGAACAACAAAAATCACAACCACCATACGATATGGGGGTGGGGAATATACATTTTGTTAATTGCTTATGTGGAGGTATAGTTATTTTAGTTGTAAGACAGATGAGAGTCTCCCTCCAAAACTACTTCCATTGTTACCACCATAGAGTTGGACTGTTTCCTTATCTTGCACACTCAATGAGGAGAAAGAGACAGTGTAGTTTGAAAACTGAAATTGAAGGTGAAGTAGCCTCTGTAATAAACCTCTAGAAGTGCTGGAGAGAAAGTGCACTGTGTAGTTTACAGAAGAGGAGTACTTCCCTTCTGTAGCATTCTCTACCAAACATGCCACTGATAAAGGTGTCACAATTTCCACTGAAACGATGTCAACAGGAGAGGAAAAAACCTGAAGCTTAGCAGATGGCAGTCTGTGCAGGGGAGCACCTGCGTTTACAGATAAACTCCTCATTCCTACACAGACTTCCTGATTTTAAGATTAGAAGAGGTCTCATTTGAAATCTAACCCTGAAAAGAGGGGTGTGTCTGTCTCCAACTACATGGAAGGTGCCTTTCCCTTTACCCAAGAGAACAGATCAACCTACTCTTCATTAAGGATTGTACCTTAATGCAACTAACCCAGTTTAATGACTGTGGGAGCAGCGACAACATTTGAACATAGTTGAGCTAAAAGCACTGGCATATTTCTCTAGAAAAAACACTCACCATTTTAGCCTAATGATTAATTAATTTTCAAAGTAAAAAACCTAAATTTTGAAGAAATTTAGTCTAACAAAAATACTGCCTTACACTGTAGCATCATGAGGAAAGGAGGAATAAACCATGCAATTTCTCCTCAGATTGCCAGTAAGCATTGTTTGTTCAGAATGAATTTTCATTCTGCTGCTAGTATTTCTTTATTCTGGTAGGAAACTATTTTTACCTCCTTACTTCCTTGGGTATGTGATGAATACTTCTGTATTTTGGAGCTTCTAAAGTGGATCTAGTTCTAGATGGCTTGAACTTCATAATCTCTTTCTGCCACTCTTCATCAAAGGTCTGGGCCTCAGCTGAAAAACAGTTGAAGTTTACTTTTTAATAAATGCAAATGAGATAGGAAAAAACATGTAACGAAAATCGGGTTTTTTGAACGGTATTTTTTAAACTTGTGGTCCATGATTCTCCACATGGCCTGCAAACTATTTCTGTAGCTTTTTTACAGGGGCTCTGTAAGAGACAACTAAAAGCTTAGTGCCAGTAGGCTTATGTTTGGAAGATAAAAATAAAAAACCCTGAAAGACACTGTGTTGTAAAAGCATATGCAGGTTTTAACCACAGATCTCTTACATATGTATTTTATATATTAGCCACAGCAAATAGTAAAATTCTGTTAAAAGTTTGTTTGAAACCATAAAGTATAATTAAAAGTATTTTCAAATATGAGCAGCTATTGTACAAGCAAACAGTACCAACTGCATTATAACACAACATTTTCACATCTAACTGGTTACTTTAACTTAGGTTGTCCAAATCTGTATCAACTAAGGAAACTTGATTTGTAGACTTTCAGACTGTCTGAAAAACAGTCCCTTTTAAGATGTGTCAAGCTGGAACTTCAAAATTGGTATGTGAAACAACAGTGTAAAGCCCATTAGAAAACTGCACAAAAAGACATACTTTCATCCAGGTTGATGAATTCTTGGTTCATTTCTTCATCACCAGTCTTGCTGTTCTTTGACTTTTTAATGACATGGGCACGATCGTGAATATGATGACCAATAGCCATTTTTTCCAGTCCACTTTCAGAATCCTTAAGTGCTTTTCTTGTCTCCTTAACCTATATAAAAAAGGGAAGTAAATGTCCCTCCAACCAAAAAATAGACGTTAAGAAAAGTTAAAAAAAAAAAAAAAAAAAAAAAAAATCCAATTTTCTTCCCCAAAGGTTTTGTATCTTTCTTTTGAAAAAGTTAAGTTTTACAGGCTTTTCCAGTTGTCTCATTTACTGTATTGGCTGAAAATACACCAACAAAGCACAGATCAAGTCTATTTTCTTTCTGCCAACAGACAGGAGGGTTAAACAAGAACACCTAAAGCTCCTTAAGTAACGTACATACTGGATATTAATTGTTGGGGAAAAAAAAGCCTAGTCTAAATATACTACATGCAGACAAGTCTTCAACATTCTCCTTGACAACAGAACGAGTAACAGCCGATGCCAATATTCTCAGCATGAAGGGACAACTAATTACTAGGTTGTCATGTTGACTAGCTTGAAACCCAGGCAACCACTTAACACTGTGTTCATAGGTATATTATTAGAACCTTTTTGATAACTGAGTGTCTGCTTGAGCTTGAACATATCCCACAGCCAATCATGCTCAACGGCCTTTACTGCTCACATATAGTCTTTCATGAACCTCGCTTCAGGGTTCAAATTCAAATTCAAATTTCTTAGCAGAATTAGATGCAACAGCTGCAAGGAAGTCAATGAAAGGGCATCTTCATCTGAAGCGTTACGTAAGCATTTACAAGTGCATGAGTAAAGGGGATGATTTGAAGCCATGTTCTGCATAAATAGACTGCCTCTTGCTGTCTTATATTTTAGACAGAATTTTAAATGTACAAGAAGAGGATTAATTATAGCAAAGAGAAAGACATTGGAAACTGTCTTGAAGAATCAGCTGTTCTGGCACTCCGTTTTTCCAGTCTTTGATAGGCATACAATTTATTTAGATGTATACTTAGAAGCATACAAATTACAAGGAAGAAAACAGCACTTTAGCTTAAGAAGCCTTTAATATAGAGCAATATTTAAACAGGCATATATTTTTCTAAATTATAAGCGTAACTGTCTCCAGTAAAAAGAACCTGAAGGAAGCTGTGGTTTGGTATAGATGAACATAAAATTCCAATAATTACATACCACCTTTTTGCTGCATCTCAGGACTACTTACACCTCCTGGAGCTGTGCGTGTCTGAGCTGAAGCTTGGAAAACTTTTGGTGGTTCATCCCCTATTTTGGAGTATGTCATCACAGAGGAGGAGCTGAATGTGTGTGCATCTGGATGGATGGACAGGTCATCCTACAAGCAATGTAGACTTCTTTATTAATAAAAGTTAAAACTTGCGGATAAAAGGTACTACTTACATTCTGATACTATCTTATCATTATGAAAAAGAATACCCCTCTGACAAATTAACCCTCAGTCCTGGCACCATAGATATGCCCTGTTGGGAAGAGACCTTGGCATTTGATATGCCCTCACTCTTGGCCTAGCCTTGTCCGGCCACAGGTCTCCCCATGCCAGGAAACACAATAACAAGTAAAAAGCATGGGCAGCAGTTTTTTGCCCTGGCATAGTTTAGTAATGAAGATGAACCTGTAACATCAGTCTTGCCACATACAGTATATAATAAGGTGTGTAAAGAGTTCAGGTGAAATAAGACTTGAGCAACAGTGGTTACAAGCCATTTTACAAGGCCAGTAAAACACAGTACATAGATATACTCAGCAACACTTAATAGACACTAGCGTTATCTTCAAAGGCTGTGAAGAAAGAAGAAAGAAGCAGCACTGAAAATAAAACCAGAGGGAAGTTATATGGAGGGTGGCATTTAGGTGTTTGTGGGTTTGTTGTTTTTAAGTGTACAGTAACACTTTAAACTGCTCCTCCACTTAAGGTGCCAGCTCTAGCAACAGCCAGAGACCAGATAACTTGCAGCAGTTCTAACCCCCAGAGAATCAAGCTTATGTTCAAAGTACTGTTGTTTGCAAATAATCAGTGACAGCATAGAGAATTACAACCACGATATAGTCAGGGGGGCGGGGGGATAAATTCTTACTATCTGCTTGAGACTAGTAACCTGTTTCTTGGCAGGACTTTCTGAGTAATATTTTAAACAACTGTCATTCTCCAATATAATTAATTTTAGAACAAATTTTTAAAAACTTACAAATTTTCTTTGCATTTCCAGCATACTGTTTCTCATATTTGACATCATCCTGTCCATTGCAAAAAAAGGTTCCCCAAAATCTGCATCCTGCTAAAAGAAAAGACATTAAAATTAAAACACAGTCTTCTGACTCTTCAAGTTCTGAAGCTGTTCTTTTACATGCATTTTTTAATGCAAATCAGACCATCAAAAAGGTTTCCACAGACTGCAATTCATAGACATAGACAAGCCAAAAATGCATCTTTTCAAATGAAAAATTGAAAGCTATCACGGGGAGCTTGATTATTAAGTTGGAGATACTGGAAAGACGGAATTGAAAGATTTGACACTCAAATGTCAAAATAAGCTCACACTGTGGCCAATTTACAAGAATACTATATTCATATACCATCTAACCTAACTAGCTTCTGCTGTAAAAAGTACTAGATGACGCTCCATGCCTCATAATCTATTGAAGATCAAATTATCTCTATTATGCAAATCCTTTAATGCATATGGAATCACACTGAAAATGCATCCCAGCAGACATAGCTGTTCCTTTGCAAAAGTAGCGTACATTACTTGTAAAAGGGCAGCATGGAAAAAATCAGAGAACCGTAACTTGGTATTTTAATGGCAGCTTAATTGCTTGATGCTATAGATGTATTCAACAAAACATTCATTTGTTAATTTTACATGAAAGCAGAAGATCCAGTGTTGCACAGAGGATAGATACTAAGACAGGTTTACATACACAGAATTTTATTAATAGGATCTGTAGCTGATGGCATATACTGACCATACTGATGAAAGCTACCTTTGGAAGAAAACAAAACAAAAAAATAGAGAGACAGGGAGACAGAAAGTAGGGAAAGGGTGAGCTCTCCTAAATGACCATCTGGGAAGACAGCAATGCTGTCCCAAATGAGCATCCTCCTCTGGGCTCCTCTCCAGTGCAGCAGGTGGTGATGATAAAGATGATTTTCGCCATCCCTTTCCTCTCCTACTAGGAGCTTTTCCTCAGGACCCATTCAAACTCCCTACCAGGCTGCCTGGTTTCTGACACGAGCAGCTCTGGTTGGAGTAAGCTAGTTAAGAGCAAACACCACGTGCTGGTGGTTGGTGAGCTTCTAGACACGCGCATGCCTAGCAGCTTCCCAGGAAAGCTACTATGCTACCACCACACTCTGGTCCACAGGTACGAGGCTGTGAGAATAGCGGGGAAAAATGCTCCCAGGGGCTCTGTGAAACCCAGCAGCTTTGGCAAGAGGCAGGCTGCTGGGTTGCACATAGCAGCCCTTTGCACTACTAAGGTGCTATGAAACACCAGGATGCTAATTAGAATAGCGAACATCCCATGTTCCTCCAACTACTGGGAACATCAGAATTGGCTATGTATTTAAAAGTTTAAAAATAAAATCTGCAGTTCAAGCACAAAACTAAGTAAAATTCAAATATAGAAAATCTTCCATTTTTTTCTTGAGTAGCAAGAAATGTGAATCCCTAAGGGCTATCAAAACCTATGGACTATAATTATAGACAATTTAGGGTATCAAATAATTGCAAGTGTCACTAACTCCAAAAAACTGCTTCCTACAGGTAGAAATCTAGACATTGACCAATGACATTACATAGTAATCAGCTGTACCTATGGAATTACATGCCATAGATTGTGGCAGGGGAGTAAACCATAGCCTGTGCAGTTAATAGCAAAAGACCTTTGATTAGCTAATACACTTTTTGCATACAGCAAGTTGCCAATTTGTGCCTCTGGAAGAGATAATTAAACAAGTTATAATTTTAGATCTGAAAATTCAAAGACCCATGCTTATATTTATCTGTTCTGCAAGTGAGAGCCACTCTCTAAGCTACTGGTTTTCAATCTGAGGACTCTTTAAAGCCTTCCAAAGGCAGCAAAAAGCTCCATGAGGGTCATAACAATAAACTTCTTTTTCCTTAAGTACTTTTAACAGATCTTTTACAAGATATTCCAGATCCCCAAACAACTGAAGCTGAAAACCACTGCAAGCCTAGTTCCAGTGAAAATTCTGTCTCCAGGAGCTGGCTTGTCTTAGCTGTGACCAGTGTTACAGGTCTTATGGGTATCACAGACAGACACACACACACTCCAAGCCGCAAGTGTCCATCTACAGGCAGCACTCAGTTTGGAGTCTCTCTCCATGGATTATTTAATTCATATCCATCAGAGATCAAGCACCAAGGGATACATCGCCACGTAGAAAAGCCAGCTGCTTAGTAACTTTTCCAATCTTGATAACAGTGTATTTAGTCTACCCCGGCATTTTCATTTAATAAGGGGGGGGGGGGGGAGCTTTTTCTTGAATTACATTGTTCTATCTAAACACCAACGAAAGCAGTTTACAAGCACACTGAGACTAGCCTTTGTCCATGCTTTAGTTATGCAGACAGTATGCACATACTAGCAAGAGCTACAAGGGCTATTGCTCCTGGGATACTAACCACTCTACCAAAGCCTGCAAAGGGCATGAGGGAGCAGCTTGTTGCCTGGAAGAAAAAGGACCAGCATCTTTTAGTTATTATACCTGTTACCAGACACAGCAGAAGTAACTTTCATATACAGCACTTTCATACACAGCAGGTGATATTAAACATCTCTGATCAAATAAAAACAGTCACTCAAGAGGACTTTGGCAATTTATAGTGTGCTACAACAATATAATACAAAGTAGTCTCTGGGTATATAGAAGTAATATATTTATACTAATGATATTGGAAAGCAATAGCTGTCACCACATTTAATAAGTCATGTTCATATGTATGTACTAGAAGCGCTTAAAGCTAGAAGTTGAGAAACATTTGTATACCATAGCAACCTTAGTACCAAAATTACTTAAAACATGGCACAGTGCTTCAGAGATCACCAGCTTCTCTGAAAACACTTCATTCTACTCATGCAACAGAACCCCATTGCTGAAAGTTGATTAAAATCAACAAATCAATAGTCCCTTTAATGTAAATTTATGTAATTAAATTTCAGAAGGCTGGCATACAATTTTAGAGCTTAAAAAAAATTAAGTGATGCAGCTGACTTGTAGAACATAGAGTGCTTGTGAACAAGAGATTAATGTAAATATGAAAGATATTTCTCTGAAATATCCATACATCCCTTGCGATAAACAAAATGAAGTCTAACTTGTCAGCAGTTTCAAAGGTCGCTGCAAAGAAGTTCTAGGTAAATCTATCATCATATACAGAACCAACCAAAGACAAATCCCCCATGAGCAAATTATATTCTTCTGCAGTTGTATAAATAGATGTAGCTATAAACACTGGCAAGTACAGTTCCTGTTTGACCAACTGATATTGAATATCCCTATATGACAGGGCAATGAGATGCTGGAAAACACATTGATGTTTCCAGGAAACTAAGATTGGAGAGTTATATAGAAGCCTACCTAAAGAGAGGCTGGTTAGACAGAAGCACCAAGCACTTTACAATAACTAAGTACAAAGAGAAGGAATTATCTGATTCTTGAATACCTTTATGAACTCTTTCAAACTGCAATTCTGTCTGATATGTAGTGACAGAAAAGAATAATACTTTTATATTTATATATATATATAAAGTGCAAAAGGATATCCTTGGAAATAAAGTTGTTAGTCATAAAGTTTATAAACTCTGTTTTACAATAGATACTAAAAGCTAATATATAGGACAATCAGATATCCAAACAAAACCGAAGGACAGTATCTCATGTTTTACCCCTTTCCTCCTACTCATATAATTTCTTCCTCCTCCCCTCCCTCCAAGAGGCTAAAAACTGACACTGCAAACCTGCTTGAGAAAGGAAAAGCATTTTCAAATGTGAATGCTATATTGACACACATTAAGTTGTTACAACAAATTCTGTTCTTTGTAAAACAGTTTTAGGCATGCTACAGTTTACTTAAACATAGAATTACAGTGTCAGTAATCAGTATGGGTAATTTTAACAAAGTGTATTTTACAGGGTAGTAAAGAAATCCATCTTTTGCTACATAAAAATCTAATTATTTTAAGCGTTTGAATCATTTCTGGAGGGAAACCAGTAAAAGCAGTTTGAGATTATTACAAGGCTCAAGTAATCAGTGCTGAGTCTTTGACAGCTGACAACTCTTAGGTGAAACATGAGGAACATCAAAAGACACTGGAAAGATTTTAGCAGGTGTGGAATTCTTTTGTGCTTATCAAAATAACGCAGCGCTCTTGTACCTTTAACTTCTTTCTCTAACCACAGATAAAGGTTTTCTATGCCTCACATTTATTCCTCACTGCCAAGAACAAGGGACGCAACTCCTAAGCTATTAGGGTAAGGTTTGACATATTCTTTTTCTAAAGGAAAAAGAAGTCTGATCTGGTTTTAGGCACCTACTGAACCAAGGCCTAAGAATCTGCTTCAGTAGAGGAAAGATCACACCCTAATTAGATTCAGCAGCATCTATATTTGAAACTAACTGGCAACGTATGAGCACAGAGGAAAGAATCTGACAGTTACCCTTTTGACTTGTAGGTGATAGTCTGTGTTTCAGCTATGTTTATTAAGCTCTAAATATCTAGGTTTAAACAACCACCACCAAATCTGGCTGAGTTCCACAAGCCCTTGTACTCTGTCTTGTCTTCCAACTGTTTTTTAAAATCAAATGTGATTCATCAAAGTAAGAGATCATTCAGCTGCAAAATATTTTGCCTGATGGAGCAAAAGGAACCAACTTCAAACATATATCCTTTCTAAACGCAGCAATTAGATAAGGTTTAGCTACAGAAGCGTAAGTTGTTAATTGTTCTGCATGCCCAGAGAGTTGAAAAGATACTTTATGTAAAGCATAGATCATGGCCAACTTCTTAGTTTCAGGTGGTAATTTACAGAAATTCTAGGTTTCATATCAATTTCCCTGATCTTTAATTCTCCCAGTCTTATATTTAGAGGAAACATTAAGAATCAGACCAAATACAGAATGTGAAGCCTTTATTCACAGCTGCAAAGTTGAAACAGGGATTAAAAATATCTGTGTAGATACTATTTAGGTGGCTGAAACACAGCTTTGTGTTAAATCAAACTAACATAAATAACTAGACACAAGATACTAAAGTGCAGTGTGAAGGCATAAATATTTCAAAGTACCTTTTTAAGTAAAGTTAGCATAAAAAGGAAGTAGTAAGTGTTCAGAGAAGGCTCTGTCACTGGACACTTTTAATGCTTTTCTGCAATAGAAACATTTAATACATAATATTTATTAAGTCAAATATTTGATAAATATGTTTAGTTTATTTCATTAAATATTGTATATTCAATGTTCAGTAACACACAGACTTGTTATTAGTCCTAAGAGAAGTTTGTCAGTGCTAGGTAATAGGCCATTAAGGAACCAAGAGAGGTATTATTCACATTTTACTCAGCGATGAAACAATCTGACCAAGGTTGCAATAGCTGAGCCAGGCCTCCGTTTCCACTGGACCGAATTTAACAGAAATGGAAATGTGAAGCCAACTATATTACCAGTAAATGTAAATTCCATATAGCAACCCTTAGAGATTAAGAAAATACTTACTCTGTGATTTCCTCTTAGAGCAACCTGAGAGTCCTGGCGTGCTCTTCGATCTACTGTTCTCTCCCCACCATCTGTTATACTGAGAAATGGATCTCGTCCAAAAGGATCAGAAAAGCTTCTCATCATCTGCCGCATATATTCATGGTGTGCAGCAAAAGGATCGCTGAAAAAGAGGTATTTTGCATAGAAAGTCATTGGATTTTATTCCAAGCTATGTAAAATGGCTCTAAAATTTTTAAAACTCAATTTTTTAAATCGTTCCATATGGTTCCTTATTCAAATTCTTTATTTTGATAGGACCCAACTGGGCAATCTCCTGTTCCTTACAAACTCTCACTTCTTTCACTTTTCTTTCCATCTCTCAAGTTGGTTGGGTGTTTTAGTTCTTTCGTCTTCTCAGCAATCCTATGCTCTTGGGTGTCCATATTGCTTTTTCTGTTTCCTCATCTTTTCAAAAAATATTCCATCTTTTGCAGCCATCTTTCACTCCAGCCTATGTTTACTATCTGCCAGGAACTATAAAATTAATCTATATTTTATTTATCACTACTTCTACCTCCAACCCCTGATATTAAAAGATTTATTTATTTATTTGTTTATTTTCCTCTGCTTTTTTTCACTTTCATCTTCCAAAGCTTAGCATGGTACTACTCACTGAACTCATCATGTCCCACTAGATTTCCCCCCCACATCCCTCAAATTTATTTTGCTGGCCACTCCCATTCTACTTTTCATCCTCCTTGACCCACATGCTCTAAAAACATATACTATCATCTAAATTCAAGCCAGCTCCATCTCCTTTAGTCATCCACTATTCCATCTTTGCCTTCCCTTTCCTCCCCTTCCACAAATCGTGTTCTCGCATCCCTTTTCTCTGCTTAGGAAGAAAGATTCTTACTGCTTTTGTGCTTTCCTGTTAGTTTTCTCCCTTTTCTCCCCTCTTTCTAAACACTCAGCCTCTGTTTCCAAAAACATACAGAATCCCACCAGTAACCCCAAAGCTTGACTTGCAAGTAAAACATTGCTTAAGTTGCTCTCCATTACTACTTACTTAATTCTTTGCATTCTCTAATTTGGACAAGAACTAAATATTTCTGAGGCCAAAAGAAGAGCAAAATACGATTTTGTCAGAAGCACAATATATGATCAGTACTGTTGCCTGCGGTCCAAGGCTACAAGTTATTACTTCATACAAAAACCATGCTTCATTTCTACCCTTCATCTCCTGTCTAATTTTCCCCTTTGCCATTCTGCTGAAAGCCACTTTATTAACATTAACAGTCATTTCCCAGGTATGTTTACTTCAATTTAATAGCACCTTGTCTTCCTTCCTATCAATTTCCTGGCACTCCCCAGACACATCACACCCTCATTCTCTCCAGGACACCGCAGCCCTTCCCGTGACATCTCACGCGTCCATGAAGACAAGCTTCAGGTCTTTCCTCTGACTTCTTCCATACCCAATCACCTCTTGAAAGTTTCCTGAACAGCTTTTCTATTCTCCCCACCCCTTATCTCCAGTCCCATGAAAACTAGTTTCCACACCACGTGGCCACTTTGATCTCTTCGCTTTGTACTCTCTTGTGCCACAGTTGCATTTAATTTTTTTTTTTCCTTTTAAGTGATGATGAAATAAGGTTACAAACATAACGCTGGATTAATTTTCAAACAAGATTTTTTAACACAACAATATCCCTTTAAGCTTTGCACAGACTTAACTCACTCCAGTGCAAAGAGAGCTTTATAGTTTAGAAGTAGTTTTACCACTGTCATTAAGCAGACCCTAATCTACCCCACTCACATGACTGCTAGCTTTAACTTCAGTCCTAATGCGATAAGCAGCTCGCACACAGCTAGTGTCCCCTCACTTCTCACAGGATGAAGAGCAGATGGAAAAAGTCACTGCACAAGCCAAGATGAGGGAAGCACACAAGCACTACCCCCGTATATGCATACTTCCATCAAATCTATTTTGACACCACAAACTTCAGATGGGTTTGGTTATCAAAACACAAATATGAATTGTATTCCATCAGTAACATGCCTAACAAAATTTCTCCCTGGTCCCTTCCAGTTCAAAAGTAGGACACTCATAAAATACGTTATCTACAACACATCTTAAGCAAAACAAGATTCCATAGATTTCATGTAGCTAAGAAAAATGGCTTGAATTTAGTGCGCATAACATGCTGTAATGTGTCTCTCCTGACATAAAATAATGCTTCATACCTTGTGAAAGTGTCCTTTTTGCCTTATTTCAGTTTCTTTGGCAACTTCTCTTGGCCATTCACCCTCCACTACATCTATCTGATACACTCATACCTGCATCTAAAACTGTGGGGTTTTGTTGTTGTTTTTTAAAAAAATGAAAGGTCTACGAAACAGTTTAGAAATACAGCTTCTCACTATCAGAGACAGGGAAGCAAGATATATACTGTGGAGTGACAGATTGAGGAACAAAAGTGAAGTCTCCGAATTCCCTAGGGACATTTTAGGGAGCCATTCATAAAAAGATCTAGTGTTGTCAAGCCTCGGTATACAATTTCGGTATACCCGAGCAGGGCAAAAACAATGGAAAGTCAACAGAGAATCTGTCTGAAGACAATGCTTCCAAGGAATTAAATCTACCTCGATGGCTCTGATGACTGAAACTCAAACCATAACTACAGAAGGAGTATGTCACCCTTACAAAATATACATATATATATATGTGTAAAAAACACGTCAAAGTTTCTCCAGTAGAGGATGCAAGATCTTAACTTCTTTGCTCAAATCACAGATTTTATAGGATGGCAACAGGTGTAGAACACTCTAGTTTAATTACCATTGATCACATCTGACAAAATTTGACCTTTCTCAGGGAGGAAAGAAGATACTTTTGATGAGACAGACATGATTTTTGCACACGTTGCACTATTATCACATAAAAATGATGAGGAAAAAGAAAGGGGGCTCTATAAGGGTTCTGCACACAGAATTTGTGCCCTTCACGTGTTAAGCACCATTAAGTTATCTTCAAGATTAAGTCCTGAATAGAGACAAACAATTTATACACTTGTCCATCCACTATTCTGCCATAACAAAATTTTGCTCAGTAAGTAGCTAATTTGACCTTCATCTGACATTCAGGTGTTTGCAGGGATCAATAAAGTGAACAAAAATGTTCAGCCTCTGAGACTGTTAGAGTCTTAAACAAGTATGTCTACTGTATGGAGAAAGAGACATTAAAAAGGCTGATGCTGCTAACACATATGCAAGCAAAGATTTTCACTAAGATGCATCTCACTTAGTAAGTTCTTGTATGATTCAGGCTTAAGCTCCAAAGTTTAAGGCTCAGTGTTCCAGCTGAAACCTTTCACAGTGTTATAGTAAAAGTACAATGTTACTTCTTATTTCAGTGTACATTTTTGGTCAGTTGAAAAACCAGTGTCCTAGAACAATACATTCAGTTTATTATTTTTGAAAACTGTATGATATACACTTTTTTTTACTTCAGAAGTTATGTAAGCCTGAAGTTGCAGAATCACACTGGCGATAACACCTGGAACAATAAAACAAAAGCTGTGTACTGGTGAATTAAAAACAGAGGCCAACTGCACTTGGCAGAGGAGATGCAGCTTCTGCACCTGTCCAGGCTATTAGGGATGAAACTCAGCTGGGCCTGGGCAGCACTTTGGCTGGCTGACTGACTGGTGCTTCCCCAGGACAGCTGCTCACAGATGGGAGATATTTCTTGTAACCCAGGCACTATTTCCAGTTCAGCAGTCAAAATCTCTCCTTGTGAGGCAACAGAAGCCTATTATTACACTATTTTGGAAGGTAATCTTATCTGAAGTAATAAGCTCATTTCCTTAACTATATGCAAAAGAGATTTACAAGGACGGTGCCAAGAAAATGAATCTCAATATCAGTCTCTCTCTCTCTCATCTCTTTCACACACACTCCCTTTCTCTATCTTCTGCAATCTTTTTTTTCCCCTACAATTTTAAACTGCATCAGTGGCTATAATAAAAATGGATAAATAAAATGAGTAAATAAGAGGAAAGCAACTGGCATTTCAAAAGCACACTACAAATTACTACGAAAAAGACTTAATTTCCATTATTATTTTAATTTCATGCAGAGGATTTGCATAGTGAAGTTTTCTGCACAGTGTATCCTGCAAATAACTGATCAGTTGTTACAATGGTGCGCACATTCCTAGAAACCAAGTGTACTAATCCATCTTGCACAGCTCTAGAAACTGTCCCAGCGCTAGGAACGTGCTTTTGCAGCTAAGCAGTAGATTCTCCTTTAAAAGGTACAAATGCAACCTCAGCTAGAATGTCCTGTAACTAGGAGATACAGTCAACAAACCCACATCACAAGGCCTCATGTGTTACCCTTCCTCGTCCACCCACCAGCATTATCCCTTATCTTTGCTTGTAATGAAGCTCCACGTAGCAGGTACCGTGTCTTTAGAAAAACTAAGATCATTCAGGCTCCTCCGAGTTCTCTGATCCCATTCTTACCCGCTACAGATTACAGTTTCTGACAAAAGACATAAATTGGGGCCAGACTAGATACTTCAGCAGTTTTGGCTGTCCCAGCACTCTAGGAGAGCATTTGCATGACACACTACTTACTTTTAGGTTCCAAGGGCAAAAAAAGATTCCCACAGGAAATAAACCGATTTCAGAGTTCAGTACATAGACGTGCTCTACCCCAGGCACTATCATTGTGCTTGTGGCATAGAAACCAAAAAAACACATTTGCTGAGCTAAAGCATCAGCATCCACTCTGGAAATCAGTACAAGGAGACAGTTTGCCTTTACTGATCTCACACACAGGTTTGCAAAGTTTTAATGCAAGAATACCTGGTGTTGCCTTTAGCATATGCATCAACAACAGGAGCTCGGAAATGGTCTACAGCAAAAAACACCAAATAAGCCCAGAAAAGCTAGAACATCCAGCACCTGCCCACTTTTTAAGAACCTGAAGAAAAAAACAAAATCAAGAAACTCAAACCAATGGAGGTGAAGATTTCTTCTGAGTCAATGTCGCTATGAAATGATGATTAAGTTCTTCCCTGCGCTATGAGACAGTAAAATTTACAAGCATTGCTGAAGAGGGGAGCAAGAGACAAGACTCTGGTATATAAAAAAAGATCACTGGCAACAATTTAAACCCC